TCTTCGTAGTATATGGTGGACTGATATTGAATACTTGCAAACACTTTATAGCCATCTATGAAAAAAGAACTAAATTCGTTTGAATTGCATCCTGGTATTGATTTTCTTCATTTAGTAACATGCATAACTTGTAGACTTGGACAGATGCTCTGAATAAAAAAAAGAGCAAGAAACTGACAGTCTGTTCAGAAATCAGCACTGAATTCAGAGAAATAAATAATAATAAATTAACCCAACAAAGGTACAGTGTTTGTTTTGATTAGCACTCTAAATTTGAACGGGTGCAAGTGAACTTTGCTTCACCGTCATGCTAGACTGACTTTGACTGTGGAAATTAAATATTGTGATTTAACTTTAAACGAAATCACAATCAAAATTTGGTTGAAGTTGCGTCTCCGTGTGTTGGCAGCACATAAAATTTTTAATACTCCGTTTTATAAACCCTTGCAACATGGAATTAGGCACAGTGAGGACATTCACATAGAATCAGTAGAGTAACAACTAGTGTAAATATATCCACAAAGAATAACTGAAGTTGAAACACAAACGGTGTTTGAATTCAAGCATATAGTTCAGTGTTCTAACAACTTAGATATTGATGGACTTCACAAAATCTGTTAACAACAGTGATATAATGATCATTGATCCCTAAATACAATTGTTGACACTACAAAATGACTAACTTTTCTTATCCTGTTCATATATTTGGCTAACGTTTTGTGATCACAAGAGCAGAATGTCTCTACCCCTTAAGATATTGATTACTGTCAAGAAAGCCAACTGTATGTCGCTTAACATCTCACTTATGACCATACCCATATAAATACACAGTCAATTTTTGTTAGACGCGTACATCATCATCTATTGATCAGCTAAAGTGCATTAAACTACGAATATTCAAGCTGTTCCAGAAAAATCTATAATTTTGCTCCTCTCTTTTGTCATAATAGAGCATAAAGATCAAAGGATTGAATATTATTATACATTATTTACCACAATGTTTTCCCCTTCCTTTGTTCCCATTCCACTAATTATTACTTCAATGAAAAATGCTTAGACTGCTTTCTAATTTTCATAATTCACCTCTTATTTTTTTGTCTGTAAAAGAAAAATATAAGGAAGGAAACACGTGTCTCCAGTACGAAAATGAAAGCATGGTTTTTTAAAAAGATTTCCTCCTGGTCAAGTGACAATGACTAAATGACTCAGTGACTGGGTTTTGCGTTTGTCGCTTGGTTCACTTCAAGTCGACATTGTTTGTACAAGGATTCTGTTTTATCAAGTGTTGGTTTCCAGGGATTCTATTGGTCACAGGATTGATCACCAGCTGGCACCAGTTAGGGAACCACTGGAAAGTCTGAGAGCACGGAACAGCTGTTTAGTCGTAGTTTGTGACTCTTCATCAGTACGAACCCCGGTGGGTGCGTACTTTAAATATGGAACTCCCTAGCCTCATATTTAATCTATGAATAGTCGTTTCAGAATGAAGCACTATATATATTTTGTAATTGATTTCAGTGAAATAGGCTAGAAACACAATTCCTAAGTAGTTAAAAAACAACTCAGTTCAACTTCTTATTCCTCTGATTGTTAATGTTAGCTCATACTGAAGAACTGATTAACCAGTAACATATAAGGTTTGAAGGTTTAATTTCAGGCAGACAACTTTTATAAGAGTTGTGTGAAAATCCATTTCTGTGAGAGACATTTCACTCCTATTCTCATAGAAAGAAGAGTCCCATTACAGGATTTCACCATGAGCTGACATTAGTTACAGAACTATTGGAAAACCTGGAGTACTGGACAGCTGTTTCGTCCTAGTTTGGGACTCTTCATCAGTACACACCCACCACCAGGCTTCGAACCCAGGACCTTCTGGTTACAAGGCGAGCTAGCTGGTAGACCATTAAGCCACTGGGACCCGATCCAATGGCCAGACCATGAATTCTAACTTCTGCCAATTCACGACATAGCGCGACCCCTAGCCAATGTCTTCGACGAGTATTTGTCCTGACACCCGACCTGCTGCACCCCACTGGTCACGACTTCTCACTATAATCCCAGGTTACTACCTACCTGAATAGGGTAAGTCGCTAGTGAACATCTCATTGAATAAGAAGAGTGCTATTAACCTACAAGCACAAATTAATCATCTGAAACCACAACGATTAGATCAAATGGGTTACCATAAAGTCATTTGTCAGTGTAGTCGACAGTAACCAGGGTGGCTCATAAGCAAAATTTTGCATTCGAGCTTAATGAAAAGCATATACCACTCTAATTCAAAGCCTTGCTAATCTCTTCATCTAGCTGAAGTATATCATCTGAATTCTCCAGTAAGTACCCAATTTGATTAGTAAGTAGTGATCAGAAGGACCGTGAACAGACGACAAACTCTAGTAATTAGATGCAACATCAGTGTTTTGCAACCCGTGATCCAATTATTAATCTATAGAAGTGATTATACAAAAAAAGGGATAGACAGAACTCACCATACGCGTTGGAGTGATTATGTATATCATGTACATTTTGGTCAATTTTATACTTCAATAGGTCTTCCCAGAGTTAGTAATCAACGCCTCACTCATAATCTTAGGAATCCATTTTTGAAAAAAATTCTCATATCAAGGTGAGACACTGCAATCTCTACAACGCCGATTGGTATATGAGGTCATGTTGTCAACTAACTCTTAGGTCACTGAGGAGTTCACTCTACTGTCATATGAATGACTGATACAAATGTATCCACCAGTCAACATAAAACTTATTTGTAAGTAAATTCTTTTCTAATCAGATTTAATCTAGAAAATTCATGATTTGTGCACCGATAGGCGGTTGAATGAAAATAAATCAATGTGGCCCGTAAGCTAAGACCAAGGACACTGAACTTCATTGTTTTTCACTGTCGCCTTTTAGAAGTCATTCAATAAGAAGTTCCCCCTCATTTAAATGTCCTGTCTATAGAGTCTTTCTCTAAGAAATTGGAATCACTGTGTGTTAGTCGGTAGACTTGAAATACTGTTGTGCATTTGACAGGAATATAAGTCACATCGGCTAGCAAATTTATTTGCATAATCAAGGCCAACAGGGGTGGGTTAGAGCTTGACTTTGGGAGAGTGCAAGTTTAAATCTTTAGGGAAACAAGGCTTCCCGTGGTATTTTGCATATGTGGACTGATAAAGTGTCAGCGTTATTTTGGGTTATGTATTCCGTTTAGTCTGAAATCACTTTCTGGCATGGCCACACTAACTTTGAATAAGGCTAAGTACTTCAAGGTACCATCACCTACATTCCAATGACTGATTTATCCGGACATCTTATGTATCTGGTTACAAAGTATTATTGTGGAAGAATACAATAATGAGGACTGTATACTGTTTTTGGAGTCATTCACATCTCACCTGATTTCCTTATTCTGTTTTACTCTGAAAACAGGTTTAGACATTAAAAAAACCACGACATTCTCATGACAAGCTTGTTTATTTGCTTGTATATTCTGATAAATGCATTATCAGAAAGAAGAAATAAAAGAATCATTTTCATCAAAGATACGATTTTGTGAATGATTTTCATAGAATTAATTATCGAAGAAGAATATTTATGCTGTATTCTGAAGTTATTTATCTGTATACTTCCCTCAGACGTTTCCTTTTAAATCCTCGCTGAAAATATTGCTTCCTCTCTCTCTGTGGCTAGTTGAACTGGCTTTGAGACTTTTAGACAAAGGAGGAAAGAAAACTTTTGATGTGACTAGAATTAATTTTAGGCACTGGGTTTCAATCAGGTTGACTTAGTCATAGATAAGACGTATCTGAATTTCTGAAGATACTCATGTTGCTTCTGTGGTTAAAATGTCTATCGATTGATAAGGAAATCAGAAATATTATCAGTATTCCATTTACTTTATTGCTAAATCTCTGTGAGACTGGACTGCATGCATGGAATGGCCAGCTAACAGTAACGCATGTAAATGCTTAGTCATGATATTCATCCGAACATGTGGTTAATTCACTTAAATGCCTAGATTACAATAATTGACCCAGCTATATAGAGGTATCGAAGATATTGGAGAATGTCTATCAGTCTAGAAGATAAACTCAGTGGTGTTTTCTTTTTAGAGGCTTGAGGTTCACTCCTACTCCCAAGGTGGTGGATGGGAGACGTGATAATCTCGTTCTTTTGTGGTCTAAGAGTTTCACTTAATGACAAATGATCATATCTGTTTTCATGAAGTCACTTTATACACACTTCGTCATCTCCCTGTTCCTCATATTTTCAACTGGTTGATGCTTATATGCTTTTAATATGTCACTACCCACAAAACCTGGGTGGCTGCAAATGTATTTCACTGGACAAATATTCTAAATGAAATGGTCTTAAATTCTCTAGAGCAGTGTTAACGCCTTATCTCGCGTGTATATTCAACACTACAATGAATATTTATGAGTGAAATATTTGAAGTTAGTAGAAGAATATCAGCCTGAAATAGTAAAATGGCTTTCACAATTAATCTCTGTTCAAACAAAGCAAGAGTTAATACATTTATTAAAATTATTAAAAGAAACCGAATTGTGAAGCTCTGTATCTGCATTGAATGACTGGCTTGCATTCAAAAGTAACCTTTTGAAAGATTCTGTGGGTAAAATTACAAATAATGAGTATATAAGCACAAAATAACACTAGTATTAATAATAATGTTTGATTATTGAAATCGCGAGGAATTTCATGGGAAATCCCAAAGGAAACTTGCAGCCAATTAAAGAAATTAGTAAACGACCAATCATAAACGTCTGTCAATCATCTAATTGTATTGTGCCCAGAAACATAAGCCAATCAGAAAGCAGAATTGTCCTAAATTATACACTGCAGGTCTGATTCATAACCATAGTAGTAATATTTAAAGTCAATGAATTTCAGAGAATATTACTGAAAAGTTAAACTGTTTTCACTATTTCAACAATCATCAACTGGACTAAGTGACGAAAAACTGTTTATTTACAATGCATAGGCGTATTTCGACTGTTGATAATCCATTTCGCGAGGAGAATATCAGATGTTCTACGGAACAAAATATGATATATTTATCAAAGAAAGAATTAAGAAAATTTTCAAATCCTCATAGGCGATCGGAAGGAGGATATCCTCAGCTTGACGGTGTGAAAAGGAATAATTCAAACTCAAGTAGATTCGATGAAGATATAAAGCCGGTTGGCAGCCGTGTACGCTGCTATTCAGACGACGAATACACTCTCACACCTGTCGATTCACAAACTAAGCGAAGATTCAGTTTTTCACAAATGCTGCTACGCAAAGCTTCGAGTATTTCCAGAAGATTTCGATATTATATGGTGCACAGTGTCGCATTGTTCCACGAAGACTTGTATGGTTTATCATGGTCTGAAGCACATGATATATTACAGTCATCATATAACACTTCTGGTGAACACGGTGAACTCTACAATCATGCGAACTTGATAAAGCCTAGAAATAAGCGTCATTTCAGCACATCCGCCATACCAAATTACTATACTCCTACCAACAGTGTACGATCAGTAAGATCGTAAATGCCAGCGTATCACGAAAGCATTCACGACTTTATCACTTAGACAAGCCACATTATATTCAGTGTAAGAATGCCGAGGGACATAGTATTGAAGAGGAATTAGTGGCTCACAGTATTAACTCACTGACCAAAAGTCACAGTAAACAACAAAATATCAATAATAAGACAAGTGTATCTGAATCTTTGAAGCAGTCATTTAATGATGTGAAACTCAATGACACATGTAAACCACCTGTTGATGAGTTGAATCCATTAGTAAATGAATCAGTGCATCTTTCGAATATGACGTCTTTAACAGTAAATGTTGACCTGCCAGTTGATGAATCAATTAAAAACATGATTAACGGTACATCGAGTGGTACAGAAAACAACGAAGAACTTCAAGGGAAACTGGATAAAAAACAAACGATCTTAAACTCTCATAATAACAAATATTCAAACTTGCAGGAGTTAAATATTCTAAACTTTGACAGAATCACTCTCCATAACACTGAAGAAGACAATCAAGTACAACGAAAAAAGTGCAGCCAACACTTAGGACATATTAAAGGTTGGTTTGTCAATTTTACAGAACGTCGAAATAAGATATCAAGGGAGTCAAAAGGTTCTGTAGATGAAGGATTCGAAGGAAGAAGATTTGAAAAGCCCTTGTCAGTTGGAATTAGCAGTCATTGATCTTTCGAATTGTTACTAGTGGGGGCTATATGCTGACAGAAACAAACGGCTTTATTCGTTCCAGTAGGCTGAAGTGCGGCGCCATTGTACAGAGAACTGATTTATCTCAACCAAAGTTTGAGAGCTTTTTTAATTTATTACCTGGTGAACATTGGTAACTGTGAACAGATTAAATATCAGTTTTGCTAGAAAACATTAAATTTGTTTTCATTTACTGTTTTTTTTTTACTCAGGATACTTTTGGTGTAGGTCAGACAGACTATACACTGTATCAGCCATTAGTTCATTACTACTAGACCCTTTTGCGGTAGGAGTAGCTAAACACGGTGCTCCTCAGAATGCTTGTCTGTAAATGCGTACATTACTGTGATTAGTTCCATAAGCAAAACTACTGGAGGTAATATTGTGAAGACTGCTATTTAATTGGGTACGTAATCAAATTCTTCTCATTACTTCCTCATTGGTTTGACATTGATTATGGTGCATTGTATACACTAAAAACCTTGCATACATCTCTTAAACATTTTAGAAGAGGTCGAAAAAAAGTTAGTCTATTTGACTGTAACCCAGCCTAAACAGTTTAATGCTCACTTTATCTTTGAAAAAAATCTTCCTCATTTTTTACTCGGTTAATGCATGGTTAATGTATACACTTTACACTCTTAAGTTTTGATATTTTTTCCCAAATTTCCTAACAACCGACTTGCTCACTTCTTCATCTTAAGTAAACACATCAGTGTTCCTTTATTCTGTGAAACTAAGTGAAACGAATTAGTGTTGAATTTCGTAATCTTCCATGGTTTAACTGTAGTGCGGTAGACTGATCAACGCCTTCTGGAATTAAACATCCCTCTAAGGTCATAAAAATATTGCTTTGTTCACTAGGTGGAAATTAAGGATTTCGTTCAGAATACTTTTGATTTTTACTTGGTACTCGTCAACTGGAAGTTCGTGAACTCTTGTGTTATATGAGAGGGATTTGCACTAGGGCACAGACTTGATGAGGTCACTGTTACTTACCTGACTGCAAATATTTTCAGCTGAAGATTCTTGAGTCCGACAACTGCTGTAATTTTGAAGCCATTTTTGTGGTCTGAGGGACATTCTGCTAGTACAGATAATGGCTGGCTATCAGTAAACAAAGACAAAAGCAAACATTAGGCATAATAGTACTTTCGTCAGCAAATTAAGACCAGTCAACACCACTGACGTTCTGAATGTTCAATTCTTAAATCTGATTGTAATATCCATGCACAGTGTTTTGAGTCTCAATAAGTTTTTCTATAGTTTTGGTTCCCAAACTAGGATGAAACAGCAGCTGCCCAGTACTCCAATGCTGGTTTTCAATGGTTCTCTAACTGATATCAATCCGTGATCAACTCGTAAAAACATAACTAACCCTTACAAACCAAAACTATAGAAAATTAATCTGATGCTCGCTAGTGACTTGCTACAGGTTGGAGTTTCCTGAGTTCTAGTGAGAAGTCGTGACCAGTGAGGTCCAATTAGATGTCATGTGTGTGAATGGATGTCCCACCAACGACAATGGTTAGGGTCGCGCTAAATCAAGAACTGGTAAAAGTTAGAATTCATGAGCAATCGAATCGGGTCCCAGTGGCTGAATGGTATACGAGCTTACCTTGTAACCAGAAGGTCCTGGGTTCGAACCCTGGCAGTGGGTGCGTAATACCTATGATTCCCGAACCAGGATGAAACAGCAGGTGTCCAGTATTCCCTGGTATTCAATGGTTCTCTAACTGATCTCAATAAGTTGTCAATTTCGCCTTAAGTTCTCTACATTTCAAGAAATTATGTCTGTTATAATAGCAATACTGAATAAAAATTTCATCGTTTGCTAGTTATAGTGACACACAGCAATGCCCACATAATGTTTTATACATTAATTGATTGGTGCTACCACTACTCAGTGGTTTTCAGTTTTATGTCTCAGCAGTAAACAGAATTTTCAAGAACCAAATAAAAAATGTGCGTCGGCTGACCAGTGATAAAATTCTTTCGAGCCATTCAGGAGATCTAGGTTCGATTCTCGGCTGTCACGACCCTAAATCTCGCCCAGCTCGTAGTAAGTTTGGGAAAGAGGGAAGGTTGGGTGGGTATAAGGAATGGAAAAAAGTACTAACTTACTGCTGCTAGGAGGATCAACGTGTTTTTATCGTCCTAATTTATGATTTTATGTCAGTGAAAAGTGATTTGATCTGTAGAAGGTTTAATGTGACATTTACACTGGAATAATATTAGAAAGAAGCAAATAAAGGGGAGGATGTTTTTACTGTTTTGAATGGTCGTTTTGTAGCGAAGTGAATTTTCATCCATGAAGTTTATTTAGGATTAGGCAGTGTGAAAATTATCCTATTACTTACTGACAAAAACCAGAGAGCAGTAGTTTCATCCCACTTTAGGAGTCCTCAGTAGTATCGTGTCGACAACACTTTGACCTTACATAATACTGAAAAGTTTAAGGCTGTGACGAATTAACTTTGAAATATTTACATCAGATAAAACATACCACTGGTTGCTGACATGATCGATGGATTGGTAGGGTAAATACTGAATAAACATTGTTCAAGTACTTTTATTAAGGTCAGCTTTTATATTACGGGAAAGCAGGAAAACAATTCAAAAAGTATACTTATAACTTACAGACTGTCACGTAGGTTAATGAGATCTAATGAATTTATTTAAATGAATGATTACCGAAAAAATAAATTTAAAAAATAGAAGCTGCCATTAAGTGTCTAGGTCATTCAAATATAGTTGATAAAGCCTGAAACTGGTCGATATTTGAATATTCATATTTTTACTTAGTTGTGTCGTTATCTACATTTATATATCTAGGAAAACGCCGAAGAAAGCGATTGACTGACTTGATAAAGTATCAGTGTTGAGAATATGAAAATATCGATGACTGTAACAAATATTCCTCATAAATCAGTTCTGCTTTAGTGACTTATTACTTTATTTGTTTGAATAAATGCATAAATCATAACGAAAAGTCTCTCATATATATATCAAGGTAGGCTTGATCTTCAACTATCATTTAGAGAACTGTAGAAAACCAAGGAGTACTGCACGGCTGAAAATCGATCCACTTGCCATTAGAGAGTGAACACGCAATGAAGTTCATGGAGTTCCAATGGGGATTAGTGACTGGTGAGATTTAAGGAGTTGGGACCAATGACACTAGCTGGTAGTAACACCAGATATCAGGAACTGGAAAAAGTTAGAATTCATTGAATTCCCTCTTTGTGGGTAACTGGTAATGGACCTTCCCCGTAACCATAAGGTTTTGGGTTCGAACCACGATGAAATTGTGGCGTTGTAGAATAATTTCACTATTTTTTGTTTGAAGCTCTATTGAAAGACGATTACATGATTACTCGATCACTTGTGAATACAAGTAGGACAGAATTTACCTGGTAAATAGACAAATACCTATTCTGTGTCAAACAAGAATTATGTTCGGCAAATAAATATCTACTTTGTTATGTTTAAAATCTCACTGCTTCGCATAGATAATCTCCGCTCTTTTCATAGAGAAAGTATTTTGGTGTGAATCATTCAGTTAATCAGCGAATGTTTACATTATTCTGCATTGATTAATCTAAAAGGTTAGCTTTAGATATTCGGTAGTGTCTACTTGACATTTTACTAGGATAACAATGATGAATAACACTTCAAAGGTGAAATTAAGGCCATTAAAAAAAAGTGTATGTGATAAGGCTTAATTTTCACATAGCTTCGTAATTTATTACGGGAAAAAGATATCGATGAATATTTTTTATCAGTCGATTGTTAACTTTTTTCTTAGAAAAAAAACTCATATTTTTCGTGTCCACTTAAAGTGAAGTTTGTTTATCGTAGGATAATATCGTGAATATGCATTTTGAATATAGTGTCTCGTGCATACAGGGGACTGTTGGTTCCGTCCGGTTGTATTATTATTATTATTATCGTCATTACTGTTGACAGTTTAATCAATTATTTAAGCGCTTTAAATATGTGTCAGGTAAACAGTATCTTGATCGAAATATTAACGATCGCAAGGGGTGTGAGTTGAATTCATAGGGAAATAGACTGAATAATTAGTGAAGCTAATCCATGATCGTTCGCTACGGTTTCAGATAATTTTTACATCAGTTTTCTTAATAGACTGACTGAAGACGTACTGAGGGGCAATTTAAAACTGGGGGACTCAGGATAGCTGATTTAGTTTAGCTTGTAATCGTTTAGTAGTAGTATTTATACATGTGTTAATAAGCTCGCCAACCACTTACATGCTCCGGGTTTGATCCCCAGATGATGCACTCCTAGAACTCACCAGGTTTACTAGCCTGGGAAAGAGGGGAGGTTGGGTGTGTGGCTAGCAACGCTAGCTGCCGCTACTGAAACTTCAAAGCTTGTGGTCCCATTTTGCTCTCGGAATGCAAGGGATGGAAAAAAATATTGCCTTGTGGATAACTTGTCCAGCCTACCATACAAGTGATCTATAGAAGGTATCTCATCTATGTTAAATTACCAGGAGGGATAATTTACGCGGTTTCATTTTCTACAAAGGATATAATCAATTTCAATATTTCTACAAAATGATTCAGATTTTAAATCATAAATATGTGACATGTGGTTTCGATTGGATGTCATTTAATCTCTACTAAGACAAAAGTGCCATGAAGTGACCAGAAACATCACTACGGATGGTTTGATCTAGAAACCTTTACGTCAAGCATCTTTTCCGCTAGCTTCTAATACAAATTGACATGTCGAACACAACAGGTGTAACATCAGCGACTCTGTTATCAAAATTCTAAATCTTCTTCAGTGTTATCCACTCACAACAATCTTCCTAAAATAGTGATTGAATTTTGTAAAAATATATGGTAAACTATAGTGCGTAGTGGTTGGAAATGACGCAGTGTGGAGGAACTGTGACAAAAAGTATCCATTTGTTTGTTTGGGACCGTGGAAATTTACAGACACTTCTT